CCCCAAAACCCCAAAACCCCTTAAGAACTAAATGGTTATCTATTTTAGAAATTAGATAGATGATTTATATTTAATCAGACAATGTTATATTTTAATTTCATTTTCTTCGTCTTTTTGTTCCAGACCCGGTTTATGACAATTGCCCTATCAAACCTGGATCGTCAATTTCCTGCACAGAGGATGTTGAGTTTCTTAATTCTTAAACTGCTGCTGAGGTTAGTTGATTAGACTAACCTTTAGCAGTACACTCTTTTTCTAAAAGTTTTATTTCCCTTTTCTTAAGATTAATTGAAGAGATATCTACTTGATTAATGCTTACTAATGAATTCATATTACGGTTGTTATCTCTATCACAAAATACTCTCCTCTGTCCGATAATATCATTAGCATCAGGTGGTTATATTGGAGGATTATTAATCTCAGCAAGCTAATCCTAAAAGATAAAGTTTTCATCATCATCATCTATATCAATAATCAGCCTTTCTTTAAGCTCATCTTAGATACTATTGGCTCCAGCAGTGAGATCCTTTGATAAATTATTATTTGTCTCTGCAGAGATTCTTTAGCTTTGATTATTTAAATTTGCCTATAAGCTAGATACTAAATCTGAGTCAGTAGCTGAGGTAAGCTTGCTTTCCCCCGAACTGAGGTCATTATTAATTACACATTCCATCAAACCTCCTTTTTACTTATCTTCTGGATTATTTATATCTTTCGAGTTTAGCAATAGAATGTCGAGTTTACTTTTACGCATTATTTTCTCGCGTTCTTTTTCCTTCTCAGTTTGAATTTACTCAACTTCAATTATAGTTTTATCTATTTCTTGGTAAATCTATAAATTTTATCCATTTCTGCCATTCTGCCTGTGGTTACTTGAAAATATGTGCTGGTAGTAGTCTTTAAAGCCCTCTTTACAAACAGCACAGAATAGATGATTGGCGCCTGGTCTTGGCTCTTCAATTGGCTATTCCTTTTCTTCCTTGGTTTTTTTTTATTTCTAAAGCTCTATATCTTTTTAATGCTTCTCCATAAAATGCTGATAATTCTCCTAGGCGTATTACCTTTCATTTACTAATGGGAAAAGTGATGTACCTAGTGGGGCATTAGGGTTAAAATGAGGATAGTCGTATTTTCCAATATAAATTTAATTCGCAAAAAATGTCCTCAAAGTAACCATTTAGGTAGGTTGATTGCTCATAAAGTAATGATATTCCTAAGCATGCTGGCTTGACTTTTGGTTCATACCCCCAGACTATTAGGATGCAGTCAAGGATCCTGGATTAGTAGCCGTGATACAAAATACTGCTTGTTTCGCTTCTTTAATAAATTACTTCTTCATTGAAGTGTTTAATCCAGTTACATTCTGATATGAAATAGGCCTTCCACTGAGACATGCAGTACCATCAGAGTTGAGTTTTAATCCTTTTTCAATGTGAAACTCTACTCTTTATGAGAGCCAGTATTCAGTAATTTTAGCACAATAACTGAAAGAGATTATATCATGCTAGTCTTTGATAAGATATTCATAAACACTCTGATTCTGTCTTTCAATTTAATCGTTGAACACATGAGCCTGGACTACATATGCAGTTTAATTCCATTGATCTTTTTACCTGAATTTTTCCTATCTCTCAATAACTTCCATCAAATTTTCTTAGCACTCTTTCTTTCCAATATATCTCTTGCCATTATCGCTAATTTTAGACTCAATTTAATGTCTAAGTCCGTGATATTACTGATTCATTTGCTATTGATGACTCATAGACCTACTTGAATTCCTGCATGAGATTAGATTAGACTCCTTATAAGTATTTGGGATTGATTGTCTAACCTATTGAGATAGTTGTTTATTTGACATATCAAAAATCTCATCAGCTACAATTAGAAGTTATGGTGCATATCCCTTGTTCGAGTTTTGAATAGAATTATAATTAGTGAAATGCATCTAGAATGGCTTTAGTTTCATTTTAAGATTTTCCATAGGTTTAAAATAGGCACCTGTAGAAGCTTTTTAAGTATTTTAAAGATAAAAGTAAGCACAGTTCTGATTTTGATCCTTAGGGCTTCCACATTATTTCATATACTTTTTATA